TTTGTCGCCATCCGATAAGTCTTTGTCGCAGTGAATAAGTGAATCGAACACTGTCCAAAAACTGTTGAACTCTCTGAAGTTGCCAGAGAATGTAGGAACCTCTAGGAGCGGTTTCCGGATCCTGATCTGGCGTTCACTTCGTTCCGTTTTTGAGCCTCTTCCTATCTCGCTGTCTGGCTGATTCGGAAGACTAGGAGCAGGCGTATGCAAAAGTGTCATTTGCTCCCCCAGTTCATGTTGTCTGAACTGTATTCTGTTTTGCCATTGAACTGCTATCACTTCCAGATCAAGTGCTTCCAGCTCCAAATGCTTGCTAAGTTCAACCATCAGCTTCTCTCGTTCCTTTTCTTCACTGCGTGCACTGATGTACTCAATGGCAGCGTTGAGCTGTGTTTCTTGCAATTTCACAGCGTTTTGCAAAGAATTGAGGAGATTTGTTATTACTCCTGCCTTTTCTTTGATATATTCTTCACATTCCGCTTTTGTTGTTGGAAATGTGAAGGGGGACGTCTACGTTCTCCACTTCGGACTCGTAGGATTTTACGAGCTTGCAAGCGTTGTTGATTTTGTGTTTGAAGAGTTGAAGAGCGGCCATTTCTGCTATACCGACTTCTATTTTCTTCTCTTCCTTAGAAAGCTGGTTGCTTCGAAGGTACAAGTTAGCGAGGTTTCGTTAACTTGTAGATGTATCTTCTGGTGATCCGTCGAGTAGAGGCAGCTGTGGTGCTGATCTCTGATGAGCAAGCGTGCCTGGGTGGCTTGAACGCTGTGCTGACTGGTAAGGTGGCTTGGACCTTGACCAAATAAGGATTGGGTTTCAATCCTTTAAGTCAAGAGTTCTTGGTCGAACTTTGACTTTTTTGGCAAAATGAGCTCTTGTGACTCAAGTTACCTTCCTTTCAAATCTCAATGTATTGATCTCCGGTCCTTGGATAGGATTCGCGAGAGATCTATAAGATTGATTGGAAATTTGCACCCACAGAAATTTGTTCCGCTCTCTGGATCACTTACGAAAAGGATACACAGAAAGCTTCACGGTCTTATGTGGTTATGTGCTGCACTCACAAAATTTGTTCCGCTCTCTGGATCACTTACGGAAAGGATACACAGAAAGCTTCACGTATTAATGTGATTATGTGCTCCACTTGACTACTCTTTCACTTTCTGGATCACTTACGAAAAGGATACACAGAATTCCAAGTAGTCTGTGGTTGTGTGGTAACACTGATTCTTTCCCACTCTCTGGTTCGCTTACGAAAAGGATGCACAGAGAGTTTTCAAGAATAGTTCACACGACCGACTGATTTCTCCTACACCTCTCTGGATCACTTACGAAAAGGATGCACAGAGATTTTCAGATAGTCAGTGGTATTCCTTCCGATTTCTCTTACACCTCTTTGGATCGCTTACGAAAAGGATACACAAAGATTTTCAGATAGTCGGTTGGTTCTTCTTCCTGCCACGCGGGTCTTGTGGCCTCGATTCCTCCGGTTGCAGATGGAATACAAGGTGGTTTCACTGGTCGATGCACCAATTTGGTGGGAACCAAGTGTCGTAGGCGATAGTGGTGTCGATAATAATTTATCCACAGACGAACCCCGGTGTTGAACCGGGAAGAGCAACCTATAATACAATCGGGGGCTCCTTATATAGGTAGTAAGGCGGAGCTGACCCGTGCACAATCGGAATGTCCAGGAAATATATGCAAGAAAGAGGATGCCGCGGCTTGGCGCGGCCCCTGGAAGATAGGTGCCACTCATTGGTGAGTGATTCGGCACTTAAACATAAGCGGTTGGGGAATATAGCCTATGGGGAATACCCGTAAGCTATTAGGATTATAGAATTGTTGAGGTTGATGATACATAAATCATCAACAATTTTGGTGAAAATGGGTTATCCGATTTCTCGCGGTTTCTTTCCAATAACAACATAGATTCTTAAGAATATTCATTGATAACATTTCTACCGACTACCAAAAAAAAACCCAGAGATTGACAGATTTATTCTTTGTATCTGTCAATCTCTAGTTTAATGGGGTTACAATAATACAAAAACAGATTATTTTCTCACTAACTTAGCAGTTCTGTAACCATACGTTCCCGAATACAAGGTCTAACTCCACATATATTGGGTTGAAAACTAAGTTTTGCGCTCATTCAATAGCTTTCCTCTCTCTCAACATGGTGCACTCAAATCTTGCCGTTGCTTAGGCTATGACGTAAGCTACAAGAGCAGATGCTGTTCTGCCAAATTCTCACATCGCAGTAAGGGTTACGGTAGCTATATGGTATGAGGGGAGAAATTATAAAATTTGGCAGATTTGACTAAACTTGGAATAGCGGGGTTATCCGACATGCTGATCACGAAAACGATGCTGAAGTTGCGTGATAAGGGCTTTTTGTAAGATTACTGTAGGTTTACGATATAGAGTCTCACCCTAAATAGAGAGAGAGGCCATAATTCAACAAATGGATATGTTCGTGTTTGGCAGGTTAAATAAGCTTACTATGTGAAGTCTTGTCGGATTTTGATGTTCTGACTCCGGTCATTGACGGTTGTCCCCAGCAACCTTGGGTTCAGCGGCGGACTCGTTCGACTTTGTGATAGCGCCAAAACTCGACATGCTATCAAATTATGGCCCGTAGTAAACTACCGTCAGGGCATCTCCCCTGAGGCGGACCGGAGTTGATATCTTGGCGCCTCAGTCCAGCATCCGGCGAGCTATTGATCTTGATGCAGATCGCTTCCTGGACATTATGATCAAGTACGTTCTCGAAAAACGGCTACTTGATTCGATTTGGTTAAATGGGTAAGCCATTGGAATTACACGCGCGCGACCGTGGTTCGACTCCGCCTAGGCGACACAACTTTTGCTGCATCGCCGGGCAATCTTTGATAGCGGCCACTATCCAATCGATGGTGACCGCTATCAAGGATTTCGCCTAGCAAACGCAAAGATAAAACAAAAAACGTTTCGTTACGAAAATTTTGCGACAACACGAAATGGTTGCAACGTGAATTCAATGAAATAACAAATGAGTCCTCGTTTTGGATAGCTTCAAAAAAAAACCAGTCAAGTTTGCAAAAAAAGAGAAGAATTTGTTTTTTTCCGTCTTCCTCGCCAAAATCAGCTGTTCATCGATCCTCTCCTTTTCGGGCGCGGTTGTGCAATTTTGCGCCGATTTTGTCTGCATTTTTAGGCAAAGTGGTGTGTATTGTAAGTTACTCAGGAGCAACTTACGACGATTTTCTCTGCGTTTCCTCTTAAGCACACTATTTCTGGACATCATCGCTCATATCATCTCCCATGACCCGGCAGGGGAGATCATCTCCCTGCCGAACTTCACCTGAGGCTCACCTCTCAGGTGACCTTGCATCCCTATAGCATGGGGATATGGGCGGTCGTCATTTTACAGGCAAAACCTCACATGAAGGTCTCAGGGGAGATCATCTCCCATGATCGAGCTTTACTACGGGCCTATATTTTTTCCTTGCTGAGCAGAATGAGCCAACCTCTAGCAATAATTCTTATATGATCGGATTATCGTGCATGGCCTCTGCTAACAGCTTTATCTTGGTTTGTGATACCAAAAATACACAAAACTTACTAGTTTTCGAAAAATGCTCGAAACTTTGAAATTCAAAATCTAAACAGTTGTGTGCAGTTGTAGCACATATTGCGCTCTATATATTGCCAAAGTTCGAGTGCGCTACATCCAAAGAGAGTAAAGTTGTGAAAGAAGTTGCAAAATTTGAATTCCAGCCCAATAAATTCGAGTGCATTCCATAAGAACGCACCCTAGCAATTTGATAGCAAATGGCGGACAAATTTTGATGTGTAATTGCTTGAAGTCAGCAGTGATACCCCTGTGTTGTTGAAAAGGAAACTCATTCGAGATTGATAAAGGGAAAATCTTACTACACACCTAGACTAGCAAAATTTTCTGCACCTAGTGAGCCTGCGACGTAAGCTTACGAACAAGTCGACATTATATTTATGCGCACCCATTAGTGCGAAAGGCAAAAACTGTAATGTTTCATCAAAAATTACCTCTATAGATATGATAATTCGATTGTAGGTATGGCTCAAAAAAATTTTCCGAAACTTATATCCAGAGTAAAGATAAGCTGTAGCACCTGATAAAATGTTGTCTATATGGTGCTGGTCTGCGATTGTGACAATGATAAAAAAAGACGGCTTTATTGGGGTGACCAACTATTATACGGGCATAACACTTGCTCAAGACAAATATCAGCGAACTCTGCTAAGCGCTGAACTTCGGAACTGATTAGCAAATGTTGTCATTGTGAGAAGCTGAGAAAAATTCGGCTGGACATTTTCCAACATTTCTCCTGAAACTGAATTGTAATTGACAAAACAAAACATATGTAAAATAGTATGGAGGAGTGTAGTTTGAAATATGACCAGAGCAAACGTCTAGCATTGGGTCACTTTGTGCGTGTATCAGCAAGTTTATGTGTAGCATAAAGCCAATATTATTTTATTTACTGGGCACCATATTACCTATTTCATTTTTGTCAGATCTACAAAGTAAAAAAGGCATGAGTTTTCTTGCGTAATTTCTCATAGTCACCAATACCACTGCGCATCTTATATTTTGTGAAATTTGCAAATTGTGGAACTCGCTTGAAATTTTTGGGTGGCATAGGCACATCGGCTAGCCTAGATGTTCATAAAAAACCATGTAGTCGGAGCCCTATACCGATTTGTTTTTACTTTGTGGCCGATGTTTGTTTGTACTTTTCCTCGCAGGCAGCTAGCTGCAACCTTATATTACTTACCACTCTACGTTCTCGAATTTTCAACTCATTGTTCTCTGGGCGCTAAAGCTTTCATCTGCAAAACAAATAATTTTTTCGAATTTTTGCCCTCCTCCTACAAAATTCTTTCGCAGCATTTTCCCCCTACATAGTATCTATCGTACGGTATACGAGCCGCTGAGTATTGTGTTCAGATGACACAATGACTAGTTGTTCGACTATTTTAAAACTTTTTTTCTTCGATGATTCGACAGTGTCCGTCCGCCGCCAGTGCCGCCGCCGCATCGCCGGACGTGCGTTCGGCGGTGTTATCACGAGCCGAATTCTGTGATATCAGTCATATATAAGCGTTGACAGCAACTAGTTGACGCTTCTGAAGCGGTCATGAAGATGTGGGTCGCGACGATCGTCGTCGCCGTGTTCGCAGCAGCAGAAGTGGTGAGTTATCGGTGTGCCATGCACACTTCGGATTATGTTGGCATAATCGGATTTCTGTTCGCTCTATCAGTTAGATGTGTGGAAAGCTCGGCTGTATAGAAATTCTTACAACACAGTTGTATTCTCTCGGAATTCTTTTGTGTTGAATTGCTCGCCTAAGCTTATTCATCCGTGATTCAGGTCAGCGCCAGGAACTTCGACAGCGCCGTCCGTTCCTGCCCTGAGGTAACTTTTTCGCGCAATTCTTCTCATACATCCTGCCTGTACAGTTCCTTGCACATTTCTTCACCTCATAACCAATCCCAATCAATTTCGCTGTTGTCAGTAAAGTGAGATCGTCAACAAGAACTCCGAACCGTTGATAACGCTTGTTTTCCATGTCATCTGATGTGGTGCAAAAGAGGCATCTTTATGGCTTCAGCACTTCTGTAACGGTCAATCAAACCGAGTCCACGGAGATTTGCTAATTTTAGGGCGAGTTTTTCGACAAAGAAGAACGAATCTGTGAACCATGCAGTGAATGCACTGATTTTCTCTATGAAAGGTTCGTTTTTGATGCATTGGATTCAGTTCAATCACTTTTGCAAATCAGACATCAATTGTTGAAACTCGATCTTTTGACTTTTTTTCGTAGCTGTCTACCCCTTTCCTGTCATCACAGGGTTTTTATAAGACCTTTGTTTTTTCTTTGAGTTTTTGTGCATCTCGTAACCAATAGTAGCAAGTTGTTCCAATATCTTCGACTCTTGCACTAACTTCCAGCGCGAAGCGCGAAGAAAAATTCTGCATATTTACTTTTATCGAGTTTTTTTCGAACTCGCGTTGTTTGCGCAAGAATTACTGGAAAACGGTGTCAATTCCGAGTGTATTGGCTTTCAGCATTTGCAATAGGTCAACCTCCTCTTCATTCGAACACTTCATCTTGACATAACAGTGTTACTATCGGGAGTTAATATCAAAAAAATTTGATGTACACGTCAATCAGAAATTGCGAAATTTTCTAGGCTAGGCTCCATTTTTTACTACAAAAGAGATAACCAATCTTATTCATAACAAAAGGTAGAATTTTCCGAAAGCAATTTTTTAATACATACCCCCCCCCCCCTCCGCCCGGAAAGTATGTTGGCTGCAGTTCTCACCTAAATCGTAAGAACACACAGAATTCGGTAAATTTGCTCAAGATACAGGATTGAAGAACGAACGGCTCACTAAGGTTGTTGCTCTCTACAGAATGAATTGAGACCATCACATATGGACAACTGATTTTTTCGCACTTTTACACCTTTTTTCCTGGCCGTCATACTTCGTTTGTTAAAACCCAGATTTGCAAAAAAAATAAACGTCTAATGTAGATGAATAAACCCGGGATTAATTTTATTTTATTTCAGTGCTTGTGGAGAGAAATTAGCAATTTCTGAATGTGTGTAGTTAACCCGGAGATTATTGTTAACATTCAGGGAGCCCTGCTCGAAATTCAAAGACACCATATGTGGTTGGTGTGGTTCTAAGAAGCCACTGAAGAATTTCGACTACTAGTAAGGAATTTATTATCAAACAATTAGTGTGTATGCAACATCGCCGCACAGCTGCCAATTTTCTTCTTTTTCAGCAGAAAATGTACAAAGCAACAAGACGCCTTCGATGAGGAGAAGTTTGAACGTGAATTTAAGGCTCGGGTTATGAGCAGAATATTGGAAAAAGGGGATAAAGAAGATGTAAGTGGCGAGGTAGGTAACAGGATTTGTTCAATTTTTTGTCTAAACAAAGCGTCAAAAAATTTTACTAATTTTCTGAATCGTTTAGTCGCATTTCAATATCTCTAGAACTTTATGAGGAATCTTCCTATATCTTTCATGCTTACAAAAATAAAATATGCCTCAAGAAATCAAAAATTTAACTAATAACTATGTCCCAACTTTTTTAGACTGATCACGACGAGCACAAAGCGACTGATCGTCTTCCACCTCTTCCCACTGACGACGAATATGATGACGAGGTTAGGCTTTTGATTCTTGTAAATTGGCAGTACAATTCTTTCCAAAATGTATGCACAAACGTGCACTGCACATTCTCTTTGTCGATTCATTTTTATGAGTGTAATCCAGCTGCTGGCATTCCTCTAATCCCTTTGAGTTTTATCATAATTCTCTGCAAACTCTCTACATGGGAAGCAAGCCCTTTGCACTGCAAATTTGAAACTGCCAATACAAATGTACTTTGTGTGCACCAAAGACTATTCTACTCTGTCTACATTTCTACCTAATTGACAAAGATTGAATATGCGGATTTCGAAGCCCCTGGAATTTCAGTTGAATTACTGTCATAAGGCATGGCTAGGCGGATGAGCGTGCTTTTCTCTTCATTAATAAAAACAAAAGAGGAGCAATATATTTATCTGTCTAGAGATGTATTGTGTTTATGCAAAATAAACACATGCCCCTACAGAAGTTTCGCTCTAAGAAACTGCTTCATTTATGCTCAATATTTCACATGGCAGTAGGTTATATATTCCTTAGAGGTTATATGATCCAAGTGTCATTTTTCTGACAATGATATGGCAAATATTTCAACCACAGCTAACGAAGCCGAAAAAAAAATGTTTTCGAAACTTTACTTTGATAAACCTAAGATTGCTTCGCAAACAACTATATGGCATTGAAACAACTTTTATGTAACTGAATAATTATCACTATAGAAACAACTATTTTCTCCTTCTAAGTGCTGCAGAAAATTTTGCGCATAGATGTAAAATTGCCCACTTTTAGCCTGCCTTCAAAGGATAGCAGTCACTTAATATGAGATCCTCGCCTGATGTAACTCTAAATATAATAAAAACTTATAGACACCATTTAGCCTTTCACTGTTTTCTCTCTTCTCCTCGTCTTTCCTTCATTTCCACCGTTCGCAACAAATAGTTCCGGATGTGAACTCATCCTTCTAACCTCAAAAGATGCGTCGTAATTATCTGTGGAGTCGAAAATGATTCATTTCCAAGGTCTAGGTGCACCGTCGAGCCCCCCTAAAAGGTATATTGGAATTAATCCTGAATCGAGATCAGCAAAAAATTTTGTCTCCATCTTTTTGCCAAAGATGAAATATGAGATTGCAATTGGGTAGCAGGGTTTTAATACGAATAGTTCCATTCACAACTAATCTATTCTACACGCTGTCGAAAGGACAAATCGAGTATCCAAAAGTCGCGTCTATGCTGCCAAGCTTTATTCCTGGAAAAATAACAGTATTCGCTATATTTCTAGCTGCAAATGTAATGTTCCTAGAAGTGAAGGATTATTTTTCAAAGCAAATGAAAAGATCCCTTCACATTCATATCAGACTTTTAATGATGGCACATTTTGCCATTTCTGACTACAATTCATGGATGCTTTAAAAGACCCTCCAAACATTCGCACAAACTTTGGTCTATTGGGTGGCAAGCTCCCTATTAGGTTATTCTCTACTGAATCTATGAAATTACAGCCATAAATTCCGTCTACAAGCGTTAGTTTTCGAGAAATATGAGATGTGCCATAAAAACGAAAAAGTCGTCATAGGTCTGGCCTATTCTTATTTTTTAAATCCTGGACCTGGAAGACCAAGACGCTATGTAAGAATGCCTAACGCGCAGTTTTGTTCATGAGCAAGTTGGAGCTTAGGAGAGTTTTTTTAAGAAAAAAAATCTTTTTGGGTAACTGGAAGTTTTAGATTTTGACTAATCACTCTGGCCAAAAAAAATTTGGGCGAACTTCTGCTAGCCATCTGTAACGCTCGCTTTGCTCTGTCTATTAACAATTATGTCCTTAATAAAAGTAGACAACAGCAATTTGTTGTCTTGAAAAAAAATTTCGAGACAAATTGATAGGTCTGAAGATAGCGATGCTGCGAAAAAAAATTCCCGTATCAATCGCAGGATATATGAAGACCAAAGCGGATCTCAACGATCTGCTTTTCTTTTGTTTCGCAAGGGAATATGGGGAGAGTTATTGTAGAACAGGACTGTTAAAAAACCTTGTGTTTTCATTTCCTTGAAAGACCATCATTCATGGGTGTCTTATAGTTGTGAAATAGTAGTGGAAGAATAGACACTCTTATAGTGTTGAGTAACAAGTGGTTCGAAATATTGACTGTGTTGTCATTTTATTTGATAATCTATAGATTACAGGGCCAACTACAGCTGCGCTCCATTTCTCCACTAAATCCCAAAATCCCAAAATTTGGGGGTATTTCACAATTATGAAACGCGCTGTATCTCATGCTCCAGCGAAATAAGTTGCGGTGCTTGGCTACGTTGGAGTTGAAAGCTTTTCAGAAACAGAGTGAATGATGTTCATTCAACGACAGATTTGCCATTCAATAATAAAAAACAGATTCGAATGCTCTCTTTTACATCAGCCTTGTGTTGAATACAGCTGCACGCTTAAATTAGCAGAAAAATTGGACCAAAACTCAGAGGAAAACAAAAAATGTGGCTTTCGTCAAAAGTTCTCTTGACTCTTCCTTTATGAATTCTTGATCTTCCTATCAGGGACAGGGTAATACTGCTATGGCAGTGGCGTACAGAGGGGAGGGAGCAGGAGAGAGTTCCCCCCCCCCCCCGAGCAGGGCTCGGCACGAGGTGGCTTACAAGCAAGCTGGATATCGTTTTTGGGACGAAAAGCAAAGGGGTTTCGTTTTTGTGACCGAAGAGACACGGAAAATTGACGACGGCGACCTTTTTTTTTAGTCGACGTTTCGTTTTTTGGGGGATTTTGGGGAATTTTTCAGGTTTTTAGAGGAAATTTGGTTGAGGGTCAAAGAAGACTTCGTAAAAATTCCCAAAAGTCAAGGGGGACTTCGTTTTTTCCATTTTCATTTAGCCACCTCTTGCCGAGCCATGCCCCCGAGGGGTTGCGAAATTTTTGAAATTACTTAGATGGGTTATAAAATGCGCAAGTGACTTGTTCATACTTGTAATCAATTAAAATAGTATTCAAAATTGTTCGAAAAATTCAAATAGTCCCGCATAAAAAATTTTTCGGATTTTTGAAATTTCAGGGTTATGAGCCCGCGCAAATTTTAGGAGGCATGCCAAAATTTTTGAAGTGTGTGGTTAACGCCATGCACATTTGTTCGAAAAAAATTTTTTTTCGCCCCCCTCCCCCCTCCCTCTCCCCTCCCCCAACGGAAATCCTGGGTAGGCCATTGTCGTAAAGAATTCATTTAGGTAGGGCATCCTTCTCAGAGTCATGCATTTTGAAATGTGATTTTATGAAACTTATTTGATTTCCCATACGTATTGATAACAAGATATTTGTTCAACTCTATCCATGTTGAAAAGCAAGAGATGTGAGGTACGATTGTAAAGGGAATGATAAGTTTAGGGCTTCGCTTCGTAGGAATTTCTTTCGCATAATCGATAAATTTGATAAATTTGTCCAGAAAATGGAACGCGACACTAAAAACTCATTTCTGTAAGCAACTCGCTATTGTATGAATAGAACATGTGTTCTCATGCATGTCAAATGAATAAAGCGTTAGAACTTCAAATGATGATTGCAGAGGCCATACGGGAAATTCGAAAAAAGTTCGTGTCTCTCCCGTTCATTTGCCAAAATTTTGATGGGGAAATTTTTTGGAGGTAATAAAGCGAGCGGTCTTCTGTTGTTTTTTATTGAAAAACTCTGATCATCAACCAAACTAAAACTATGAATGCACAATATAAGTCACAGATTGGTGTAGTATCCTTACAATAAGTAATATGAATGCCTTGAATAAGGATCATTGAATACGAAACTGCTTATTGACTCTTGACTTAGCATGTCATTATCCGTTCAATAGTTTTTAATAGACATCCAAAGAATTCGTGTCGTGCTCGCATCTGATTTGTCTTCAAGACTATTTCCTCCCTGACTCACCTCATAGCCCAGATCAGATTATGTGATTCACACGGTGAAATAACTTTCGTGAAAGGGAAGCTTTTCAATTTTGAAGTCTCAAATGTTTTCCTACTTTCGAAATCGCTTCCGAGAGATTATCAGTACTGTATAGAGAGATTAGCGAGAACGACTTACTAGGTTCAGGAATAAACGAAAAAATCGTTTTAGTCTATCAATTCGAGATTGCTTTTGATGAATTAAGCTGTAATAGTCTCAATAGAACTTAGTTGTTTCCATTGCTCAACTTTGTTCTCACGTTCAAAAGAAATTTTTCAAAAACTTTTATCAATTTGTGTCCCAAATCAATGAGGAATTGGTAACAACGGCTTATACTGTAGTACGATTTTGTTCAATTTGTCTATAATAAAAAATAGCGAAATTTTACTGCATATTACAGCTCTTTTAATCTTTTTGATAATTTCTTTCGTACCGTGTCAAAGTCCAAAAATCAAAATATTAACTTTTCTTTTTCAACCCAGTTCTCCCTTTTCTGCAGAAACAACTTCATAGGTTTCACTTAGTTGTGCTTGAGACTTATTTGCAGTTCTGTTTATACCTGCCTTTTTACACAAGGATTGGGTTAACCATCGGCCTTGCAGCAAGAATTACGAAAAATCATTGTAGGAGCGGTGTGGAAAAACTTCAAATCTTAGATTGGACTATTTGCTTTTTTCCTACAATGTTCTTATTTCACATGTTGAAGATTATTTGGAGCAGGTAATGATGCAATATACCACGCGCATCTATGTTTCAAGTACTGATACTAGAGTATAATATTTTATCTTTAAAACTTCCAGTTAAGGTTGGTGAAAATAAAGGTTACGATTTTCCAAAATCTTTTGAAAAGAGAATTAATGTATAGCTTCGTATTCAAAAGTGTTTGCTGCGAGAAAAACTGACTGTTTGCCGTCCATACGATGGATCACTCTGCTATCAAAGCAGATTACTACTCTCTAGCAAAACATCGTAAAAAACAAACGCAAAATATCAGGCGCTATTTGCCCGCCAAAATTTGTATAGATAACACTTGTCGAGATGGAACTGCAGTGACTGCATTCCATCGAAGACAGCACAATTTTTTATGTACATAACCACAAATGAAGAAGGAACCTTTTCAGTATTACGACGATGACGTTCTCGATTCAGTCCATGAAGATACGCCTTCTTCTGAGGAGGAACTCGAGAGAAAGGTTAAACTCTTTTTTGTTATTTATACACAACAAAATCTAAAACTTATCTGTCTGCGAATCAAAACAACAAACATATCCTGACGTAACAGCAGAGTTAAGCCGACAGCATTTTTTTCCTGATGAGGCGTGAAAGCACATCATAGAAGCTCCGCTTCATGCAACATTCGATCTAATACAGGGTGTCCCAAAAAAATGTATCGAACGTTTGATCGTTAATATCTCTCTTCCCAAGAAGTCTTTTGCCTTGCTTCAGGCACCGTTTTGTAGAGCTGGCTTCAACTTAGATTTGCATTATAGAGCGAATCACTCACCTCTCTTTACTGTAGGATTACGGTAGAAACTTGAAATATATGGTGTCAATGTGGAAAAAGCTGCCGTTTCAAAATTTTTCAAAAAAATGTGAAAACTTGTGTATTGGGGTTTTTATGGACGCTGAGTTCAATAACTCAGCTATTCACAAGATTACGAAGCTTTCTAAACGGTGTAACCGCACTATTAAGGAACATTAAAAAATGGCCACTACCTCTTACCTGGCATAACTCTTCAATGAAGCATCATAATAAATTGGGAACTTTACAGTTATACCGCACTTTTTAGGAACATTAAAAAATGGCCGCTACCTCTTACCTGGCATAACTCTTCAATGAAGCATCATAATAAATTGGGAACTTTACAGTTATAATCAGCAACTCTAATTAGCCTAGTGTAAAAGTTTTCAGGCTGTTTTGTTTCCTATCTGAGGCAAAATACGGCCTTTCATTGCTTAAAACCCTCTTTGAAGTTTCTACCGTAATCCTACAATAATGAAGAGATTTGAGTGCTTCTTCCTATAATGCAAATCTAAGTTAAAGCCAGCTCTACAGATTGGTACCTGATGCAAGGGAAAAGACTGCTTTAGAAGAGAGATATTAACGATCAAACGTTCGATACATTTTTTGGGACACCCTGTATATAAAGAATTGTAACGCCAATTCAAAAAACAGCAAATAGCGGGAAACCGCGGTGGTACTGGTTCACTAGTCTCTTGAATGAAAACATTTACCCTTTCCACTTTGTGCCTTGTAACGAGATCTAAAGCTTACCGAAAATCTACAGGAATTGTGGAAAGAGCAAGGAAATGTCAATTATGGCAGGCTGTAGAGCATTTTCAGCAGATAGGCAAGCATATGTGTAAGCAATCAAGTATTTTCTCCAATCCTAGTATCAACGGACTACAATACCGCTCGTAATTTGTGAAAAAAAAAACGGCGGCCGCCAACTTTGCCGAAATTGGCGTTGCATCTCCATATCTCGTTTCAGAGTGAGTGAATTTTGAATCAAAGCACCAACTTAACTCTCAATCGGCTTGGCGAGCATCTTCTGATTTATAGAAGTGCCATCGTTTTTAGGGGTATGGTAGGTAGCTAGTTTTCGATAATTTTTTGATTGTTATTGAGATGGACTACTCAGTGCGCTGACAACGTTTATGTTTGGTGTTGCTAGCACTTTGTATGGATGCTATAGCATTACGTCAGAAGTCATTTTGCGTTGATCTGAGGCCTCTAACATGTTGCGAACGGGTTTTTGTTAGGGCGCAACCCAATACTTATTGTAGTTAGAGAGCTCTGACAGACATCATTCGATAGAACACTTCCCGAGTTACAGTGCAAAAATGGCTAACAAACTTTGGAAAGTCCATGTTTTACCTGAAACTATCCACCGCAGCCCTATAACAAGTTATCTTACAAGTCAGATTTCGATGTATTTCGTAATCAGTATGTCGGATAACCCCTACGATTCAATTTTCCGAGAGAATCGGGTCCTTGGTTTTTTCTCAATCCTCGCTTTTGATCTCGCCGCAGGTTTTAGCTGAAATTTAGATAATCTTAGATTGACCGGAATTTTCACTCAAAGCGTTTTCAACACTATTTACGAAAATCTTAGTTGTTATCGCACCAAAGAGTTTTATAGTGAAGTTTCGATAAGAAAGATATAATTAAACCACGCAAGAGTGCAACTTCTCCACACTTTTAGCCCACCTATTGAAGAACTTGTCTGCATGTTTTGTAAACTAAGACTCTGTGAACAACGCTATCGCGTCATGCTTAGCACAGCCTCCTGCTTGAACTTAAAATATTCATGAGTTTAAACCAGATTCAAAGATGCAGCAAATTTATGTAAGAAATGTTGTCAACACATTGAGTAACCCATCTAAGCGGAATTCCAAAGTAATTCGTAAAAAGCGACTATCTACCGTATATCTGCCGTACCCCAACAACGGAACTTTTGTATATCAAGGGATATGCCTCGTCGAAATGAGGTGAGTGCTGCCCGGCGTTGAAATCGTCCACCCTAAATAGAGAAGTGGCGATGCGACGCGAACTTTAACGAACTCCGGCGGTCCCGCCTAAACTCGACAACCGCCGTTGTTTTTGTTTTCTTTTTTTCACAAAATATGAGCGGTAATGTACATTTGTGCAAGTCTGTTCGACCACAATGCACGTGCTGGCAAAAGCAAGCTGCAGCGATGGCAAATACAATAAACGAGAAAAATTTTAAATAGGAGAAACATTACAAATTATCGCCCGTCGCTCCAAAATTTTGAAACAGAGTAGTCAACCATTCCCTTCAAAAAATTTTATAAAGTTTTTGACAATATTTCAAGTTGCCAGCGGTTAAAAGTAAATTCTTGAAAGCCATGATAGACATATTTAGGAGATTGTGGATAGAGAACAACTGAAGAGTTCGGACGACTCCGACGAGTTTGAGGAGGAACTTGAGGAGAAGGCAGAGAGAACTAAGGTAAAGTATTGATGTCTACACCACTATCGAAGCTCATGTCTTTATCACGCAAATGAAAGCCATCATTCAGAAACGAGATTTTGCACCAATCTCTGGTGATGAGTTTCTTCGAAGAGAGAGGCTCACTGTCGACAAAGAGGTAGTGGTCATATCCCTTTTTTCAGATCTAAAGAAAGCATTTTGACATAACTTTATGAGCGATGACTCAAAAAATTTTCGTTGACTATTGAAAACTTCTGCGTCTTTCCTCCTCAAGTATTTCACTTTAGACAGAAGAAGAATTGGAGCAGGACGGTGTTCGCCCTGTAAATGTAAACGAGGCAAAAATCGACGAGGAAGACGATGTTGTTGTTAGTATTCAGTATTTTTTAAAGTTTCATTGTGGAGTTTTCTCAAATATTTCGCACATAAGTAGGATCTCGCTCAAGTTGGTGGAAATGATAACGTCAAGAAGCATAATTTAGCACATCTTATAGACACAAAAGCTATAATTGCCCATTACAATGGAAGCAATGTAGAATCCTCCGAAACAATGTAGAATCCTTCATAATAGAATAGTTTGAATTTCGGTTAGCAAAACCCTTCCTCCTCTATCTTTCCAACATTTCTACCTGAGGGTTTCATAAGCTGACCTGTATTCCTTTTCAGAATGAAATGGACGAATTGCTTGACAGCGATGGCCATCGTATTAACATTGTCGCCATTGCAGTGAGGAAGAGAGAGTTAGTTTTGCATTTTACACTTCAAAATACAAGGAACACCTGCGCTTTCGAAATCTCTTTTAAGGGAACCTGACAAAGCAGAAGACGAAGTTGACCATAATGCTTCTAGTTACTCATCCATTTGTCATACGGTAAGCGTGTTTCTTTTGCAAAGTGAACAAAGAGGCTTCCTGCTGCACCTCGAAAATATGAGAGTTTATCCTCAACTTGTACTTCTGGTTGTATGCGAAATCTACAGTCTATAAAAAATCGTATCGTAGCTAAAAAGAGATATTTTGCAAAATCGAGTTATAGGACTTTGAAAATTTATGATCTCATTTTTCAGACGGGATTCTACATTTACGCCTTTTGTTTGGGCGTTTTAGCTGCAGTTACAGTTAGTCTAATTAAGTAAGTGCTGTTAGCAACGCAATTTTGCATGCTCCTGTGTAATTTTTCATCAAAATAATTGATTGCAGACGTTACAAACAACCTGTTTACCATGTACCAATTATGAACTTTACCGAGGAGCAACGTGCAAGTGAGTCTTAATTGTGCAAATACAACGAGATTAGCAAGCTTTCAACTAGTACTTGCTAATACCCTCATACACATTCCTAGATGAATGCAGTATGTGAAGGAATTCCTCTGATTCACAATTACCTGCTTCAAATAAATTCAAACAGAGCAGACACCACTGAAAAATCGCGGTAATAATAGAGTACTCACACTAATTATTCATTAGATCTTCTCGTTTTTTTTTCATAACTTCTTTCAAATTGCATGACGAATGAATTTAAATCAAGCGTAATGCTCCTCAATGCAAATCTTATGGTAGACTACACTATCTTGCTATTCTCTTTTCTGTTGGGTCGAATTTTGAGGGGACAGTATACGCACGGAAGACTGTAGTGAATTTGCTTTGACGAGCTGGGCGTTAAGCTTGTTAAGGATTTATGTTTCATGCGAATTGAAGGAAGTAATGAAGAGAAAATGAAAAAAAACGCGGATCGTCAATTTTACGTTTTCCGTCGAGTGTGGGTAGTGTACTGTGTACAACTTACAACGAAGGGACTATATCAATCTAGAGATAAAGTTACATAAGTATACACATTTAAGCAGTTTTGCATATGTTGCAGCAGTGGTCACAAAATTCTTCTTCTTAGCAAGGATCGCGAATGAGCGCCAGCAATTTTTCTTTTCAAAAAGAGATGTTGCTTACGCCATACCCTTCTTCGCAGACTTGAATTTTTGAACTAGAGCGATCCAATAATTTGTACTTACAATCGACTTAATTTCTTGTATATTTTTATAAGGCTTATAAGGATTTTTGTAAGGCTCAAGGCATACACGCGATCTAGCAATCTGCCAAATGTCTTCAAATTCAATACTGGTAGACCCCAAAGGCACAGCACGTATAACTTTCATAGGTTGATAAAATGCCCTATCTTCCGTACGTTCAGAAACCCCTTACGATGAGTTATGACCAATTGGAGTATTGCCAAATTGCGTCGCGAGTGAAATCGCGTGAGGTATGTTTTGAGCTGACTCGTGTGGTTATACTCGCCACTCGTTCGTCCACTGCTTACTCTAGTATGCGCCAGTCGGAACGTGATACGACAACTAAATATTTTTTAATTGCGCATCTTTTCCAAGCTGTTGTGGAGATAGGTGTGCTACCATATTCGTCACGAGATCAAGTCGCGAAAAGCAATCTCTTTTCGCTTTAGGTCAGAACAGTACAAATTCCGCTTAGCGACAAGTTGTTTTCAACTTTAAATGCGTACAAAAATGCTCAGTAGAACGTGAGCACTGATCAACAACCATGTCGCGCCAATGAAAAGAAGGGCAAAGAAAAGATTGCCTTGAACAGAAAGAAATAGTAACTTAACATACAAAGCTTAAAACAAGGAAAATGAGAAAATGTCATAGATCTTCGCCGTTGACAAACCCAACAAATATCAACTTAGATTATTGGCGATTGCGGTATGCTTAGTAATCATCTGGCTTCATTTGAAAACTCAATAAAAAGTAAAAACCATATTTTCGACTTGCACTACATTATCTTCGGTGTAGTTAAAACTTGGTGGTCTCGATCTCTGTCACCTGTTAGGATATATGATATCAATCATTTTCGCGACACTAATACAGATCTCGAAGAATGATGTAAAATTACCACGATCAATTGACTTAATGGTGACAGACAGGTAAAAATGAGCAGAAAAGTACCTTCAAACTTCTTTTCTCCTATGCCTCGGAGAAAAACATAATGATCGCCAAGCATCATTCAGAAAGACTAAAATCTATCAAACTCTGAGCAGCCGGAGGCTGTTGCTGCATAGACTTGATGATTATTTTAGTAAACCTTCAACATTTTTCTTTAATTTCGTTTACTTCAATTTGCAGTGATGCAACGCTGTGCTGAACAAATGAAGAATAAGAAGGAAGATATGGCAATATATGAGAATGATTTGGCTTATGTTTGAATATGTGATAATGTAAATCTTCTTCAAATATATGGCCTTGGCCATACCATTTTTGTGCTCAATGTGTTATCGATCGCTTCGTTAATAAACATTTATTTGACTTTGTTTGTAATATTTAAATGAATGTGCATATTGAGGGTTTAGTTCGAAAAAAAAAAAGATCTTTTAGAAGAGAAAGCCCATTTCTGATTGAGCAAAGTTTGTAGTATGAGCAGTAAACCAGTGAGCTGTGATCTTGCTGGGCACTTGTTCTGAGCAAATTTTCATATATAATTATTTATTCGATTCTCTACAATCTGAAAAAGAGAATGCAAACGCATAAAACGATTTAACAAATTGAGAAAAACTTGGTACAATGATACAAACCTCACAAAAGTGAGGAAAAATATAACCCTAAAAACGTACAGATTCAACGAGGCACCTGTATGGAGCATCGAAATTATGAGAAGAAAATAGAAATTTCACAAACTAGCAACCAATGGAGATGCAAATGCAATCAAAGAATGATGAGAAGAAAAAAGTGGAACATATCAGCACAACGGAAAATGAATGCACAGCGGCGATTTTGGTCACCTCAACCCGAATGTGACAGGGGTAAAATCAGAGTCGTAGGTGTATAAAATGGATGATTATGTACGTATGGTTGTGATCTTGTGATGAGAAATAGAAGAAGCTGTTAGGATGTATTCCATCCTATTATATCTACAAACGAGATCAAACCTTCGTACGCCTGCGTATGACACGATTACTATCGCATATAGAGCAAATTACAGCATAAAAATGACGGCAATGCTAATTTCACAGCGATTAAGTCACAATAATGATATAAACAGATTCCTGAATGGAAAACTACGAGCGAAAGTGAAGGCACAGTGGGTCATGGTTTTTGCAAGGGTTTTCTCTAAGCTTGGTGTGAGGTTTCGGGTAATCGACTGGCTCATTTAATTTGCCTAATTCAAATCTCGTTGTGATTTTCTTTTTGAGCAGTGCAGAGGTGATGGCGGACGAGAACGAAATGGCTCATAGGTAGATATGCAAAGCGATTCCCCGTTCTCTACCACCAACCGAAGCGAAACCCGTGGAAGAAAAGAAAAATAATTGCTAATGGCGCGCGTAACGTACGCGAAACGCCTGGCAGTGTTGCAATTAACGAAATCCACGTGAGAACTCGAACGGGACTCGCTAGAATAGCTGCAAACGCGTGTCTCTAAGAGACACAATCAGACTCTCAGACTACGGACTGAACGGACGACGTATACGGTTGCGGTAGGAGCGGACGAGGAGGTGGCAACGTTCGTGGAGGCACCACTGGCTGACCCGTCAGATGCATTTCAGTAAAGTTGACACCTTCGCGGTAGCTGCCTGCCTTCTAAACACAAAGCAACATGAAAAGCTCAGCTCTACTTCACACTTAGACGTCACAATGCTGTCTGGAAGATGCTCGAAAGTTCGAAGGCACCGTCCACCCTAAGGTCGGTGAGATCTTGATGCCCTGTGATAGCGGAGCCCCTAACTAAGCAATCGCCCAAGTCCCGCTGCAGAAGATGAATTCCAAAGCAAGAAAATCGCTCCAGAATGCAGAAACGGTTGAGGTGGCTCCGCCCATCGACGTGGGTGGTCTGTAGATGGTGAGTTCGAAAGTGGGCTCCAGGGTAGATGGGAATGTCGAAATCTGATGGCCATAATGGAAAGCGAATAACAATACTGGATTCATTGGAACCCATTTTGTGACTGTCAACTTCAGAGCACTCCTACCCATGGGCGGAGCCACCTTGGCAGCATAAATCTTTTGAAGCGATTTTCTCGCTTCGGATTTGATCTTTTGCAGCGGGCCTTGGGCGATTATTTGATTAGGGGCTCCGCTATTACAAAACATCAAATTCTCGCCATCCTCAGTTTAAGTGGGCGCTGCCTTCGAAATACGGGTCAGGCAGCATAGTGACGTTGTTAGAATGTGAAAGGTGAGAGAAGAGAAGGTAGTAGAGAGGCAAACCAAGGCTCACATTATACAGAAGACATGCGGGAGTCGCAGTAGGCGGCTTGCACGGCTAGGTCGTACGGGCTATTCTAAAACGATGAGATCACAGGTACGGTGTGTACGGGTATATGCAGTTTTTAGTGTGTGTGGTGAAGTCTGTCTTGAAACACACAGGGAGTGTAGAGTAGCCGACGACGACGATTGCGGTAGATGCACGTCGCACTCGTACTTCAATCGCCTCAGACTCGTCGTGTGGGTGGATGTGGGAATAATAGTGAGGAGGCTTGGAGTGATTAGTGGCAACTAAGGGAATATTCTCTGCTACTAGGACGAGTTCATGCTAGTACTTCTTCTACGAGCAGCGGACGATAGCGAGAAAAGTACGAGCGTGGCCTGCTTCAGAAAAACACGATCACACGTAGTGGGAGAGATTATCCGTGGTAGAAACAAGGCATTAAGGGAAAGTTCAAGGGGTAGGGGGTGGTTGCTGCTGGTCAGACGACAGCTTCACGGCTCAGATAGACGCCCATAGCTGGTTCGCATACCTCGACAGATTGTGGTGTGTACAGCCGTGGAGCATCGGCATCGTAAAAGTTTTCACGAACGTTCAGACTGAAAAAAAAAACCGTTTACAGATTTTTTCTCTTTCACAAAAATCATCTTCTTACTTTGCTTTCGCCTTCGGTTCGTTATAGTCTGTTTGCTCTTTCACTCCTGGAAATTTCGATTCAGTCAATGACTCATTAACATAATATCAACAAAATTACTTACTGTTGAAACATAATACACCCCGTCTCACACACAATGTGATACAACAGATCAGAGCCAAACAGAGAGCTATCAGAATAAATAAGGCAATCCACCATCCAGAAATCCTCGAGCTACTAGCCGTACCCTCACCTAGAAGCGCTTCCATTGGAACTTGGATCCTGAAATTTTGAATATTTACTCTGCTCTTAGCAGAGTAACACACTGTCATCGCTTACTGTTTGCTTCCGTACTGGTTTTGCAATCGCAATTCAATATTTCGGTATTGATCCTCTTGCCTCACAGGATTGATGTTTAACCGAGCAAGATAGCAGTTTGATACGGTATTGTTTAGTGTTGTGCTTTCAAATTTGAAGTTCTCCCAAGATTGGCCAACCTTGAAATAAAGATTTTTGGTGTCTTTGAGGTAATTTTGCATTATTTTATAATTTGGAAAGTTGGAAGAGATATGAATCAGAAACCAGAAAAAAAATTAGAAGCCCTCGTAGAATGCCAATGAAAAAATCAGATTAGGGTCGAAGACTATTATCCGACCTGTAGATCATTTTTATCGATGCTGTAGATTACTTCCCGTGGTGGCCTTGGCATCGGCTCTGCGCAGTAATGAACCGTAATCTGAGCGTTGTTGCTACCAGGAGACTAAACACACAGGTCGAAGACTAGGCCCCTTATCATTTTTATTCCTTCTATGTAATACCTGCTCGATGGTTGGGGGCGCATCCGACTGCATGGGGGGTCCAATAACTTGAATGGTGAGTGTGCTCGTTCCAGGAGTTTCGAGAGCTGGTGAGCATTCTGGAGCTCCCTGACTGACAAAGGAGCAAGCTGAGCACCAGTACTGCCCGGACAGGGAGTAATTCGAAACGCGGAACGAGCAGATGGCGTTGAGGCGCTGAACGGGGATAATTGATGATTTAGGGGACCTCATATCCCTAGGTGGGACTGGTACAGTTGCAAACAAGGATAACCGTAAATTATAAATTAGCATACCACAACATTCGGTGGGATAGGTCGATCTCGTGGCGATTCGTTGACCTCTTGGTATTGTCCCTCGTATCCTTGAGCACAAGGGGCATCGACAACCTGCAATAACTCTCGACGCTATTGTGTACAGGCCCCCTAGTCGAAGGTCTTTTGCAGTGAGAAAATCCCCAACCTGCCCATTCGATCTGCGCAGCTTCCAGAACACGATGGGACGAGGATTACCCTCCACCTGACAGCCGAGGTTAATCTGCTGATTCATTTCCAGACGATTACCAGCCTGGAACGGAGCCGCCGATTGAAGCGTTGCGAAGTTATCCTGGACCAATCGAGCCGATGCTGTAAAGATGAGACTATTGACCAAGATTACGGCGGTCACCAAAGGGATTAGGATTTACAGTAGGGGTCAATTTGGACGGCTTGGCTGGTGGCCATTTCGGTGTCCGAGTAGAGACCGTTATTAGCCTGGCACTGAATGCTCTGCCCGATCATCTCCGTACCGATCGTAATTTCGGCACCGTTTCCACTAAATATATGGTTGTAAATTGGGAGGAATCAAGGGTTAATTTTAGAGCCCAGTAGTTTGTGTTCCTCTCTCAGTAACATTAGTTGCTATATATAGATTTTAGAGTCTTGAAAGGAGCACCATTTTATTACTAGAATTTAGCAATATTAAAGCGATACATCAAAGGATTTCTTATTGCTATAAGGAGCAATTTATGTGTATGCACAACCTGCTTCAAGTCCCATTATATTTAATCCAGCGATAATTTCTCCATATAAAACACTTGACCGAAGTGAAACAATAGTCAGAATCCCCGAACACTCGCTTCAGAGATTGCTAAGAAAAGCAAAATTACACTCTCTAGTGTGACCAATTGCAATTTCTACAAGATTGGTAGCGCAAAAAAAGAGCACGATTGGCTAGACAAGGAAACTTGATATTCAAGGATAGACTTTTTTGCCTATAGTCTAGTTTCATTTGTAACAGATTTATTATTATAATTATTCTAATCGTCTCTGTTTCTCTAACTATAGAATAGCTAAGGCTACAAAGTTTTTCTTAAGAGAATTTGTGAACACTCCGGTTTTCTGAAGTCATAGGCATAATTTTCGTCGCATCTTGGCGAATCAAATTTTTAAAGAAAAACAAATTTTCTTCATTTTACCTTGTGACCACTCCATTCTTCAGCCACCGGAACACAGTTGCAGGTGGATGAGACTGAACGGCGCAGCGTAGAGTTTTCCGTCGTCCGCTTTGTTGACAAAGCCCATCGGCTCCGCGAACGCATTCAACGTAGAATCTATAAGATGTGAGAATATGACAGTACCGGTAACTGTACTTCACTTAACACTTACCGGTAGCCTTGACCGCCAATTAGTACCGGACCTTGGCCACTTGCGTCAACAACGTGCGGTTGACGTAGATACCGGACCTCTACCGTTGCTGATTGCGAGTCGACGGTTCCTAAATGGAAGAGGATTCAGAATTGTGGTTCTAGAGAAGAAAACGCACGTACCTCCGTTGAGAGCTGCTTGACACATGATTGTCGCTCCTGTCCAGTTCGTGTTGACAGCCACATTACTTAGAGCAACAGTCTAAACGGCACAAAGTGAGCCGCGAACGATAATGGCCACATTTAACGTGAGTGCAAAGGAACGAGGAAAAACTCTTCGAGGAGAGAAAAAACAGCGCGTGCGAAACCACTTGAATGTGTTGTCCCATTCACATCACTTGCACAATGTTCACGACAAGTCGAACCGAAATCATTTGCATGTTAAACGCGTTTTCTCGAGTCGTATGGGATAGTGGGGCCCCGGAAATATGATGACTCGCTCCGATTCATCACACGTGGGAATCGTAGTTCTCCACGTCGATGAATGCGAGGTACTTCTGCTATTTTCCGAAACAACTGGTAAGCGTTAAGTGCCGTTCGTGTTTGCGCGATGGCTCACATTCCCAGGTTCGGCACCAACGGACGCGGACGTTCGTTCCACCAATAATACAAACGGACTGACTCTATTATTTATTTTGGTCAGCAGCGATTGAACAGCGGTAGAGTGAACGGTCTCATGACACTTAAGTCACAGTGCGGTGAAAGTAGAAGTGCCCAGAATTTTCAGGAACACAAAACTACCACTAAGAAAAATTAGAAAAGTAGTTTCAATTAGTACTAATTTGGTAAAACCCCATCTTACTACCATAACATAGTCCTACTGCCCTAAATGTAACTTCTAGAACATTAAGAACGTTTTGTGGATTCGCAACAATTAGAAGAATAGATCGATTATCGCAAAAAACACTTGGAAATTCGGAAACGAGTAGGTGCGAGACGTCAAGCGAGGTGAGTACGACCTTTAACGACCCGTCACGAAATCGTCCTTTTCGGCAACGGCCACGGTAACGGAATTTGAAAAACGCTGCTGACAATGAGACTAAACTGACAGTATGTTTATTGTACTCCCTGCACAATTTAAAACTGGTTTTTAGTAAGCTCTGCCGTCAGTTGAAAGCTCCCGTCTACCTTTCACAAGCTATTCATCACTCAAGAAGATACATTTTGACTTCCAGAGTCAACGACTTATCCAAGACCGGATCGGTCAATGTCTGCTAATCCCGGGGACGGGCGGTACCCTTATAGACCCCAAGCGGCCCATGCCTTTCAAATTCCGGGTGCACGCTCAGCCTTGACCTCTACGGTGGAGCTTATTTTGAGCAGAACGATCAGGTAGCGGGGGCCACGTCGCCGCCTACCTCACCTGATCGACATTCCTCATAATTACCAAAATTGGGTCTCATTAGTTGCTGATGATTGTTGCAATAAAGGGATGAGAGATGTCCGTATATGGTAAAGGTACAAAGGAAGGAAGAGGGGTGGGGGGGGGGGGGGGGGAAGGTGCATTAAAACTAGTGTAAATGGCAATTGAACAGAGGCTGAAGAGAGCTCGACTTGACCTTGAATTTCAACTCAACGAAGCATGAGAATGATTTTTCAAGTGAGTAATGTGTTCTTGCAACCCTATGGTGGCTTTCCCACTTCGAACGGGTCAAATTGAGCGCGGAAAGCGCAGTTGGTGAAATGAGAACGATTCGAAGCCGATTCTTCAACATGACTCATGCATGGACCATATAAGGAGAGAGACCAAAAGGCCATACTGTTCACATGTGCATGCGCTGGACGTGATTTTTGTTGACAGAAAAAGCGGCACGAAGGGGAAGCAGAGAATAGCGAATGTGGGTCTCACGATATGGAATGGTAGTAAGCGATAAACCTATAGAAATCATGTTTGTGGTGTGAAAAACGAACCGGAAAGCCAGCGCTTCGGGTGTGGTCCTGCGCTGAGTTCAGCACATTTGCCATGTCGGTGATGTTCTTTTCCAGGCAGTCAGTACAGACAAATCGCAGCTGGCTGACTGGAGCTTCCGAGACACAGTAAATAGTCTCTTTTGTTGTGGTTCCAAGCATCGTCCACACTATTGTATTGAGTTGCTGTGCATTTGATACGGCAAACGGCATGCCGGTGATCTTCACTTGGGCTCCGAGCATCTGCTGCACTTGGGCTGAAATTTTATGGCTAGGTTAGGGCAATTTACTGGCGGAGCTGCTTGCTTACCTGAACCCGAGCCGACCATGAATAACAGCAGTAATATCAATGTCTTCATAGTCTGAAGAGAAAGGTGATAGTAAAACTCAGGCAAAGCGTAGAAAAAAAACTAGGCGAAGGAAAGTAGCAAAAAAAATTGCGAGAAAAAAATCTGCCAACAGTAAACGGCGAAGAGGTATGACGCGCATGCGGAGCGCACACGCGTCAGAGTACAAAAGGAGGCGGTGGCCGAAGAGAGACCGAGGGAGGAGGCAGTGACCCAAAGGCGGTGACGCAGACGCGGCCAGCAGGTCAGCGAGCTACCTGACCGCAGCCGGCGAGCAGCAACTTAGCTACACATGTCACAACATACGGTAATCCGGGAAATTACAGCTTGATTGTCGGTCGTGGTTACACACAGTATGGGGCCAATAGCAATGATGCACTTACAGTTGAGTAGATTTTTCTAGATTATGTATGCATTTGCACACTTCTCAGGATGTTTTTAGTACTTAGGTCTCCCAGGTAAAGCACGGCATGTAAGCATTCAGGTATCTTCGTATCTTTGTACTAAGTGCGCTTAGAAACCAAAAAAAAACTAAGAAAATCAACAGAAGGAAAATTGGAAAACGTAGTATCTTCCAAAAGTAGCGTTAATACTGACATGGATTACCCTATAGCTTCTCAATTGATTCCAATTCGTACGTTGTTTTTTTTTGTCTGGCATTCTACGTGATTTATAAAATTTCGTTTAACATAGGGTGACCCTATGAGATAAATTAAATGAAAGGTTAATGGATAGCAAAACGATAGCCATGCTAATCCCAACCTAGAAAATGTGCAAATGCACACACTTGCAAAGACACCTACTCGGCTGTGCTGTATCAGCGAGTTCTATGAGACAAAAGTGCAACATCTCTGAGAAAGAAATTCTTGGAAGAAAGCAGGTTTTTCTCCCTAGAGAAACTATTGATCCTACAAACAATGGAGATTGTTTAGCGTGCCTCGTTATTTGCATTAAAGCTCATACTGCAGTCATTATTCTGCAAATTTTTTTCATGAATAGTAACGTAATAATAAAAAAATGTTAAAAATGACTGCTTAGTGAATCATAAGTGCTGCACGCTCTGGAGAGCACTTTCGAAAACGACAGAAATTTCCTCCAAGCAAAACTGTTGTTTCAAAAAAGAAAATGAAAAATTATTGCTAGAAGTTTGCTGATGAACAGACTGCAAAAGATCGGGCGTTTCAGAAAGGTGTAAAAGACAGTGGAGTGTGCAAAACCGTGGTAATATTTCATACTTCTGGTATGAAGAGTTTTTTGCGAAGTGGTTTTGATCATGTCATTCTGAAGGATATCGTGATAGAAGGACTTACAAAAAAAACGATGAGCAATGTTGGAAAATTCAAACTTCAAGGGAGAGAGTGATTCAATCATAAAAAGGAGAAGAATAATGGAGAAACATGATGTTTGCAACCATATACTTTTGAGGAACATGAAACGTGAACATCACATGTTTCGTTCGCAAAATGTACAATAGTAGAGGAAAGCTTTCAACACAGAGAGTAACTCGATTATGAGTGAGGCAAAAAAAGAGTTAAAAACTTAAAAGACAAGACATGTGGAAAATTCGGTTTTGAGTTAACTGCATTGACTTCGGTGAACAACTAAGTCGGTGGTAAGTTCAAGTTCAAGACAAAGCAAAACTAGTGTTCAAATTGCGAGTAATGTGCGTTACTGAGTCCAGTTTATCGACATTTCTTCTTCATTGGAAGCAAATGACTTAGCTGCAAAATTTCGTTACTATTTGATTTGCGAACAAGAGTAAGAGTTCCATGAAGTAGATCAAATCGAAGAGCCGACACCGCAGAAACTCGTACAGGTTCCTGTAAAACTACAACGAGAACGAAATCGTAATCGCATATCAATCGGCTGTAGATTTCGTGCGCAGATTTCACAACTTTAGTGACCTAATCAAATGTTCGTTGTGACCGGGATGAGCGAGCGCGGGGGCGGTTGTGTTAGTTCGTCGTTAATCCACCTATTACCCGAAAACCTGATTGTTAGGAAGGTGGGGTAGAAGGGTGGGGTGGGGGGACGGTGGTAGACGCCATGTCGGGTGAGTGTGAGTGAGTGAGCGTGTGCCTCGGCTCGACGGTGGTCGCGTCAAATGCTAAGGATAACGACATGCAAATACGGAGCGCCTTCTCATCTCACCGACTTGGAATTGAATCACGTTTTGTTGCTAGAGTTTTGATATCATCTAGACATTCTAGATATCCACACAGAGCTGCACTCGAGCGGCGCATCCCGCCCAGATTCGGGGAAAGCGGAGAAGAGCCGGGAAAAGTGCAAAGCAGCGGCTTGTGCGCAGTCCGGCGCGATTATTTGCTTTTCGCTTACCTCTCAAGTTTTCTTGTTGAGGTAAGGTAAGCATACCCAGCACCGGACATAGGGAAAAACGCTGGTAGACGTACACAGATTTTACATGAACTGACCCAGGCCTATCGTACTTGGGAAACTGGTTTTGCGCATGGAATGCGAAAAATGAACGATACGACTGAGAAGCGGATACGAAATTTCTAACGTGAGCGTTTTGGAGAGATGCCGGTAATACATCTAAGGCATCTATCCAAACGATAATGAGGCAGATGATGCCAGAGTTGTGACAGGTTGTCGTATGGTTTGGAGCCCAACGGCAACACCCTACACACTTCGGCGAAAATTGGCATATGAGGTGATAATGACTTGCCGTAGGAATTCTCTGTAGCCTTGCTTCTTAATGAAGTTTCGGGTGAAAGTCTCTAATGTCTCTAGCCCCGCCAGTCTAGTCTCATTCCTCAGAGACCGGTTTTGCAAGGGAAAACGATTTGCTTGAGTTTGTGGTTGTTTTCGTTATATACATGCCAATGCAGCTTATCTGTATCTCAATAATATGGGCTTAGGAATGCTAAGGCTTTGTTTCTTTTATTAGGCAAAGAAAGAAACAGGTTCTTGAAGCCAGTGAAAGTTCGCAGTTGTTGGATGGAATGTGAGGTTTACGGTGGAACAAGATAAGATTTTGCTTCTTTGGATGTTTGCCGAGCTTGTCAATGATTTCTAATAAACTTTTGGTTCTAAACAGTGAGTCAGAGATTCTAGTTTTCGGGAGTGAAATGTGAGACCGCTTCTTAAAAACATCGCACGCAATGAAGTAGGAAGTTTTCGATTCAGTAGAAAATTAAAAATTTTTATAAAGTTGAACATCACGTCAACGATGACAAGAGTGCTCTGCCTGTGTACCACCAAGGACAACAAAGGATCGAAACCATAGGGGTTGTGATCGCTGTAAAGTTGCAACGAAAACGTCTCTACGCAAAGAAGACACATCGAAATCATCGATTGTATGCAATTTTTTGTTATTTCCCCATGACAGACCATAATTAAGCAGTGTGTCCGGCGACGCTTATCATACGCCAGGTGCGCGATGTATAGCCCCGAATCCCAGAACGGATCAGATGGTATCTCATTCTTAAGGAGTTCTAGAAGCGCTTCCAGGATCCTGAAGACGTCCATCCATCTTACACGAACGAAGGGGGATCGTCTCTCAATGCCATGTGTGGATAGAGGCCCACATGCACATAACCACGGACGACATGATTGAGGAGCGAACAATCTCCCAAGGTCCTCCGGGACGTTCGAACCTGTTCCCATTGGGGAATCGATCGACGGGTAAACACGCTTGAATACTATGATACAGTCCTTATAGCTTGTGATAAAGCAGCCAGTTCTCCTGCTTGAAGTATATCGCTCAAAGCAAGTACAAAGTTGATTCAGCGTTACTCTGAGAGGCAAGGAAAATCGTGAAACTGTTGGAGATTCTGGGATTGGAAGAGAATGCAGCGAGGGAAATATGAAAATCGGTGATAAACAAAGTTTCTGAGGCAGAAGTCAGTTCAACTTGAACAGAAAAATATAATAAGACGGAACGATGGGCGGTCATCGCTCACACAATATCTGCATAAATTAGACGCACTTGAACCGCGCACCGAGTCATAAACTACTTAATAGGGATCATTCAGTTTGATTTAACGTTAATAGCACTAAGAAAAGCAGTAGGCAAGATGCAGATGCATGCACATCCTCAGCAACATTGATCTCGGGAAAACTAGTTTTCCAAAAATAGACGAATTTCCTCAAGAAATTCGACTGGGAAATTACGCTCGTGAAAGTGAAACAGGATTAAGATGGGAATAGCATTAGAGCGAAATGTCGTCTAAAGAGTTTGCTAACAGCTAACGATGCGTGGTGAGCCAAATTCGCAGCCTTGATCGGCACCTGATAGAGTGTTATTCGTTTCGTTTGAAACTGTTCCTGATCGTAGCAAGAAGACAAAGAGATGAAGTGGATTTACATGAACAAGAACTTGTGCTTCTCGACTGTGCTAAGTACTGTGAACACTAGAGTTGCAAAACCCATACATTCAAGGCGCGGCTTGTTCCTCTCATCAGTTTTCTTTTGCAGCGTGAAATCAAGAAAAAGAGTAAAACAATCGAGAGTTATTTATTTAGTCAGTGAAAACAAAAGAGGCGTCACGACCATAGAACGAGGAAAGAAAAACATAAAACGTAAGAGAAACAAATGAGTTTGTGGTCGAAGAACATATAAGGCTGTCTCATAATTTTTTTAACCGTTTTCAAACTAAAAATCAGCATTTCTCTAAAAGTGCACAACTACAAGGGATACAAATACATGGCCATACTTGTGAATGGTATCCAGTTTATGGACTATATTATGTGTGTGGGAGGAGCTCAGAACATCTAGGGGTATTATGTGTGTGGGAGGAGCTCAGAACATCTAGGGGCGGAGTTTGCCATTTTCAAATCGTTTTTCTTATTTTTAAGCCATAGAAAAATACGGAAAGTGTACAATTGAATGTCCGACGCGTTAAACATATGCAGGGATAGATGTGGAAATTTTGAGATTTTTTGAGACGGAGATACGACTTTTGAAGCTGAAACTCACTTTTGACTACTGCCAAATTTCAGATTAAAACTTCATGTAGAAAACGATTTAGGCGGACTCTTGACTGAAATCTTGTAGA